ATTGCAGATAGTAGTTGGGTATACCATGTACAGTGTATTCCCAAGAAAGGTGGGATTACTGTGGTGCCTAATAAGAGAAATGAGCTTGTTCCAATGCGGCCCGTGACTGGATGGAGAGTCTGCATGGATTACCGGAAGCTAAATGCTTGGACAGAAAATGACTATTTCCCTATGCCATTCATGGATTAGATGTTGGATAGACTTGCTGGTAAGTTTGGTATTGTTTTCTTGATGGTTATTCGGGCTACAATCAGATTTCTATAGCTCTGGAGGACCAAGAGAAGACCACCTTCACTTGCCCTTATGGGACTTTCGCCTTCAAACGGATGCCCTTTGGGTTGTGCAATGCTCCAGCGACCTTCCAACATTGTATGATGTCAATATTCTCTGATATGGTGGAGGACACTATTGAGGTATTTATGGATGATATATCTGTGGTAGGTGACTCTTTTGATCGATGTCTGAATCATTTGGTTGTGGTACTGAAAAGGTGTGAAGATTGCAATCTGGTGCTGAATTGGGAGAAGTGCCACTTTATGGTGAAAGAAGGGATAGTTCTAGGTCATCGAATTTTTGAGAAGGGCATTGAGGTAGATAAAGCGAAAGTTGAGGTAATAGAAAAACCTCCCCTGTCTATCTCTGTAAAAGGTGTTAGGAGTTTTCTTGGGCAAGCAGGTTTTTATAGGAGATTCATCAAAGATTTCTCCAAAATTGCGCATCCTTTGTGCAAACTGCTCGAGAAGGAGTGTAAGTTCTATTTTGATGATGCTTGTCTTAGAGCATTTGGAGAGTTGAAGGAGAAGTTATTTAGTGCACCTATCATTATTTCACTGGATTGGGGACAACCGTTTGAGGTAATGGGTGATGCAAGTGGCGTGGCGCTTGGTGTGGTATTGGGACAGAGGAGAGAGAAAATTCTTCACCCTATTTACTATGCTAGAAAGGCTCTAAATGTGGCCTAGAAGAATTATAGTGTGACTGAACAAGAGCTTCTTGCGGTGGTTTTCGCATTCGAGAAATTTTGATCCTACTTGCTTGGTACCAAGGCCATAGTGCATACTGACCATTCTGCATTGAGATATTTGATGACAAAGAAGGATGGAAAGCCGAGGTTGATTAGATGGGTATTATTGTTGCAAGAGTTTGATTTTGTGGTAAAAGATAGAAAGGGGACCGAAAATCAAGTTGCCGATCACTTGTCCAGATTAGAGGAAGAGGCTATGCTAAAGCTTGGTGATAGGGCTGAAATTAATGATGCTTTTCCAGATGAACAGGTATTGGCTGTTTCTCATGATCTGATTCCTTGGTTTGCAGACTTTGCTAATTATTTGGCTAGCGACATTGTGCCCCCAGATTTATCTTTTCACCAAAGGAAAAAGTTTATGCATGATGTGAAGAAATTCTTGTGGGATGAGCCTTACTTGTATTGTAGTAGTGCTGATGGGATTATTCGTCGCTGTGTTCCCGAGATTGAGATGTTGAGTGTACTTGAAGCATGTCATTCATCGCCTGTTGGTAGGCATCATAGTGGTATTCGAACTGCACATAAGATTTTGTAGTGTGGGTACTACTGGCCTATTATCCACCATCCACCAAGATGCTCATGATTTTGCCTAGTCTTGTGATCGTTGCCAAAGATGAGGGATTTCAAAGAGGCAAGAGCTCCCTATGAATCCTATATTGGTGATAAAGTTGTTCAATGTATTGGGCATTGATTTTATGGGTCCATTTGTGAGTTCATATGGGATGAAGTATATTCTTGTTGCGGTTGATTATGTATCGAAGTGTGTGGAAGCAATTGCACTCCCAACAATGAAGGTAAAAGTGTCACCGCATTCTTGAAAAAGAATATCTTCTCCAGATTTGGTACACCGAGGGCGATTATCAGCGATGGAGGTTCCCACTTTTGTAATAAGTTGTTCAAGGCACTACTTGAGAAATATGGTGTCCGCCACAATGTAGCCACTCCTTACCATCCGTAGACTAGTGGGCAAGTTGAAGTATCCAACAGAGAGATCAAATAGATTTTGGCGAAGACTGTGAATGCTAATAGAACAGATTGGTCAAAGAAGCTTGATGATGCTCTGTGGGCCTATCTCACTTA